CGGCTTTTTTCTTTTTGCTTATGTGGTGCTGAGGAATCGAACCCAGGGCCTCAGGCATGCAAGGCAAGCGCTCTACCACTGAGCCAACTTCCCAGCCCGTGTGCATGGATTTTTATAGAGATTTATTCAAGATGTCCTTCTTAGGAGATGGCTAAGCAAACTATGGCATATCAATACTATGGAATGGTGTTCAGCAATTAAAATTAATTAGTTCCTAAGGCATGAAAATACATTGTAAAGTCTTAAATGTATGCTACTAAGTGAAAGAAGCCAATCTTCCTATATTAGGAGTTGAAATCAGGACCTCAAATTCTTGCTTGTCTTTTTTGCTCATGGCTGGCACTCTACCACATGAGCTATACTTTTATGTCTGGCTTTTGGCTGGTCTCAGATTTCTCATCCTTGGCTAGCTTGGAAATGAGATTCTCAGACCTCAATTTTCTGAGTAGCTAAGAGGATGAACCACATTTACTTTTTGCAAATTAGAAAATAAGAAAAAGGAGGTAGAGGAAACCATAGTGGGTTAGTAACTTCTACCATGTTTACTCAGTGAATGAGAAGGTTCTGATAACCGAAGAGACCAGATTCTGAAGAAAGAAAGAAGAGAATCAGGAACCACAAAGGAAAGACAGAGAAAACAAATCAGCAGAAGAAAAGCAGAGAAGGGCTCTGACCTTCAACACCCAGGACGGGGAGGGTAAAGCTGAAGACTCCATTAGAAGGTAAAATACACCTTGGCAATCGATGGCTAATTCTAGCTGCAGGATAAGTCCCACACATTGTAAAAGCTGTAATCTCTATTACAAGGATTTGTGAGACAGTGACTACTCTAATATGTTAGGCTGGCCTTGGTAAAGAAAGGCATTCTATCTGCTCCCCTTACCTCAGAAGGTGGTGATGTCATCTGGAGAGGGTGCCTATTGTTGGAGACTGAGTCACTCTGGAAGCCTGGGGATAAGGGACAATCATGGACTAAAGGAATATTGGTAAACCTTGCCACCGACTCTGGTATGAGCTGATCACAAAACGTGTTTGACAGGAAGGAGAATTTTAAGCTGCGAACTGTGCTGGTAGCTTAGATGCAAGAGAAGGCTGCTGAAGATGCCTGGCAGATATGAGAAACAGAGGCTTAGGATTCTCTGTGGAGGCACTCACTGAAAGCCTGGGCATGGTCATCACTCTAGTGGCCCATGGAGTTGAGTGGTTATGATTAAAATGCCTCGTGAAGGTGCCACTGGAGGGAGCTGGGGCACTGAAGAGTTAGATATGGAAGCCTCATCCTCCCTTACAAGGAGTGACTCCAAAGACCAGCGTGCTAACAAAACTTTAAGCCTCCAGGGTCTCCTCTCTGCTCTATGGGTAGATCGCCAGGAGGGTCAAAGCCCTCCCACTCACACCTTCTGAAATACATGATACCCACAGTCATTTATATTCCACAAATACATATACACATATGTATATATGCATGTATGTGGATACATGCATGTAGATGTATATGTAAATATATGCCCATATAGGAACATATACCTATACACCTTTGTGGTTCCTGATTCTCTTCATCTCCTTCTATAGGTATCTGTGCCTATACATGCATAGATAAATGTCTATCCATCTTTCTATTTATTTTGGTGTTGGGAACCAAGTTCAGGATCTTATACATGTTAAGCAACTGTTCTAACATGGAGCTATATCCCTAGTCCTACAATGAACATTTTATAAAGAAAGTAATTATATAAAGTATTATCAGCAATCTATTTGGAAAATATAGTTCTTTTTTTGCTGCTTCATGTATGTGTGCATGTGTGTGTGTGTGGAGAGAGAGAGAGGCAGACATATATACTGTCAGACAGAGACAGAGAGACTTTTTTTGCCACTCCTAGGGCCTAGGCACTGTCCCCTGCTAGCTTTTTTTTTTTTTTTGGTTGGTCGTGAGGCCTGAACTCTGGGCCTAGGCACTGTCCCTGAGCTCTTCAGCTCAAGACTAGCGCTCTACCACTAGAGCCACAGCACACTTCCGGTTTTTCTGCTTATGTGGTGAGGAATTGAACCCAGGCCCTCATGCACACAAGGCAAGCACTCAACCACTGAGCCACCTTCCCAGCCCACTTCCAGCTTTTTCTATGTATGTGGTACTAAGGAATCGAATTCAGGGCTTCATGCATGCTAGGCGAGCACTCTACTACTAAGCCATCTTTCCAGCCTAAATATATATGTCTTGAAAATAATATAGTTTTACAATACTTAAAATGGATATATTTCTTGTCTTTCCTTTAGCCATTTCTCAATTCCAGTGAGAAAGAGAATTATCCTGAACTTTTAATATCATTAATATTCTTTTTTTTTTCTTGGGTATGGGCCTTGAACTCAGGGACCGGGTGCTGTCCCTGAGCTCTTTTGCATGATCATAGCTAGTACTCCACCACTTTGAGCCACAGCTCTACTTCTTTTTTTCTGGTGGTTAATTAGAGATAAGAGTCTCACGGACTTTCCTGCCTGGGCTGGCTTTGAACCACCATTCTCAGATCTAAGCCTCCTGAGTAGCTAGGATTATAGGTGTGTGCCACCAGCACCAGCAGTATTCTACTTCTTAATAGAATGTTCAATCATTTTCAGTGAATACCTATTTTAAGTTGTGAAAGGAATCTCTTTCAATTTTATCATTTGAATGGTATAGGCATAATAACGAGTAATATGGATAACTAGGAAGAGTACTGGTGATCATGTTGCCATATAAGACAGGACTTTTTAGTAGTGAAACTTATCTTCATGTGAGACATATGGTATAAGTCTCATTTTGAAGAGTTAAGAGTCAAATACTGGTTATAAGGAATCTACACATCTTCAGAGGAAACAAGCCTGGATTTCACACAGTGCATATTTTTTTCTTTTGCTCTATAAATATGAAAAATTAAACTACAGGTTTTATGAGTTACTCTAAGGGGAAGAAAACTAGCTTCTGATTAATATATTTTTACTATAAACAAATGTGTTTGAACACAATGTATAACATATAACTTCCACCAGTTGTTATGCTTATCACCAGTTGCCCACAGCATTTGAGGTGATGTTTACTACAGCCATCTCAATGTTTGCTTTGATAAGTGTATTTGTTCTGTTCTGTTGTTTGTTTAATTTTTGGTAGTTCTAAGATTGCACTCAGGACCTGGTGTTTGCTATGTAGTTACTCTACTATTTAAGCTACATTGCCAGCCTTTAACATTTGCTTTGTAATCAGAAAATGCTGGTGATATAATAACAAAAGAAATTAATATAATGTTATTAAGTAATTTACCTTGGTAATTATTGCTGGCATTAATACCAATGAATATTTCATTTTTGTTTTCCCCAGAAAGTATCTAATAGTGTAAAAAGTATTTGTCTGGATTTAGTAGATTTCTAGGAAGATGTCTAAATATAAAATCTAGTAATTAAGAGTTCCAGTTAAAAATAAGCTATTTTTTTAGTGAAATGTCCCTCAATGTAAAATTATTTACAAATGACATCATTTGCTTATTGACTAAAGACTGTTTCCTTACATGTGACAGGAAGCTGACAGTAGACTGAGAAGATGGCACATTAGAATGAGAGCGAGTAACAGATGCTGCCTGGAGAAGGCGTGGTTTCATTGAAGAATTTGAGGTATATCCTGGTCCTTGAAGTTCCTGGCAAGCAATACAGATATAAAGAAATAATACTAACTCACAATAATAAAGCTTTGTAAAATTAAAATACATTTTAAAATTTCAGTCAATATCCACTATTGAGACTTTAAAATATGTCAGCAACTTTAAGGAGTATTTCTAAAAGCACATCCATTTCAGTGTAAAATGTACTAATTTTCTAAAAATACATTTTGTCATGTAGGTTACATTACTTTTGCTATTCCTCAAACAAGCCGCACATTACTAGTTCTTTGGGTCTTTGCACTCCTTGAACTTGTGCGGGAAAAATTTCCTTTGGGTATTCTCAAGGGAAGTACTTGTGAAACTTGTTTAAGTTGTTTACTGTCAAGTAAGGATAACGTGTGGTGTTTCAACTTGTTATCATAAATAAAAAGGATGGATACGTTATGTAAATATATTTGGATTTTGTTACTGTTAGTATCATATAATAGTGAAAGTACATTTAAATGTAAAGTACATTAAGAAAAATGCACATAAACAATTATTAATGATGAAAAACTTCTTACTTTAACATCCAAAGTGTGCTGAAGTTTTAGGCGCACAGATTCTTGTTCTTGGCGCTGTATTATATCTTGACATTCTGCAAACTGCAAAGACGCCTACGATCAAGCAACCATAAGTGGTTTATGCTCTATTCTTTATGGACTTTTATTTCATTAACTTGCAAGTGTGCTATCTCTTCAAGGACACCCACTATCTCCATCAGCTTACCACTTTGCAATTACTTGTCTGTTTTTTTTTTCAGTAAACTAAGGTTATATGTTTATTCTTTGCATACTCAGCCTATACACAAAATTCATAAAATTTAATTTGTGGAAGATACTCAAAAGAATGAATGATCTAGGAATGGAGTCCATCTTCCATATTAATAAATCATAAAAGTTCATATAAAAATAACAAGTTCAATTCTTTGAGTTAATACTACATGTTTCAAGAAACAGGGCCTTCATAGTGGAATCACAGACTGTCTAACCATGAAAGCTCTTAGAAATGAAGACTTGGATTTAGTTTAGTTTTAGGCTCCCAGAGTTTCTAGGCAACAGGAAGACAGACATCACTAATATATCACAAGGATAATATAGTTCCACTTGTCTTTGCCCTTCTTTCAGTTGTGTTTTCTGGACCCTAGAAAGGGACAGATATTAGCATTACTTCAGTTTACTGACATTAAAAAGGCTATATCCTACCTATTTCCCAGGCCATTCTTTGGTGGCTAGCTGCTCCTGGAAGGGGTCTTGCTTATTGAAACACTAAGGACATATTAAGAATTTCTTCTATCTCATGTCCTACTGTTCCTGTGAGTATGTTAGCCTAAAAAAGGTAATTGAGCAAAACATATGCTTCACAGCCATGTCATGTTTCTCAAACTTAGAAGAGCCTCCTCTATAGTGTATAGTTTCACAGTGTACAAGGTGATTGATATATAATACAGGTTGACAGATTCAGTTCCTATTTACATATACCCTTCATTCAGAACTATTCTATCAAGTTATTATTGGGATGATAATTACCTTATATATTTAGTTAATAATACCTTATCAAGAGCAACTTCCATGTTAGCAACCTTTTCTTTCAAGCGGCGCTCCTGAGACCGCAGAACTTCCAGTTCTCCAGCCATCTTGTTTTTTTCTGTTGCAACAGTGCTCAATTCCTGGCTGAGTTTACTCTTCTCTTCTTTTAGAAAATGCTTCTCCTGTTATTATAGAGGAGAAAATATCAGAGATAATTGATAATGTAGATGCTAAGAGGTGATGAGAATATAAAACATTTATTAAAAGACTGAATTAGATACATTTGACTCCTATTCCATTTAACTGCTTCTGAGTTGTTGCTAAACTATGGGAGCTGCTAACATATGCTCTTACATATTTTCTGCTTTCATTATGATTATTATTGCTTCTTTTTTAGTCTTAACAAATCTCTGGTGAAATATACAAAATATTAAATCATTAGGTCATAAAAAAAGAATACCCCCCCCCACGATATAACCCGTTTTCATTGTATTTGATATTGGTATAATTTGTGGAGGGGAAGGGAAAAAACAAATTGTTTAAATAGGGATACAGGTGGACCCATTGCAACAATGAGATGTACAAGATGATGAACTTTACAACTTTGGCGGGGCAGGGTGGGGGAGAGTAGGGGGGCCAGATGGAAAGGGATGGGAAGGGGAAACAAAGGAGGAGGCAACAATGCTTGATAAGAAATGTACTCACTACCTTGCCCATGTAATTGTAACCCCTCTGTACGGTATTTTTTTTTCGGGGGGTCCGGTCATGGGGCCTGAACTCTGGGCTTGGGCACTGTCCCTCAGCTTTTCAGCTCAAGGCTAGCGCTCTATCTCTTGAGCCACATCGCTACTTCCTGCTTTTTTCTTTTTGCTTATGTGGTGCTGAGGAATCAAACCCAGGGCCTCAGGCATGCAAGGCAAGCGCTCTATCACTGAGCTACCTTCCCAGCCCCTTGTATGCTATTTTCACAATAAAAAAAAGGAAACCATTTTGGTAAATGAGGATTAAGTAATCATATACCCAATTTTACTGAATTTATTTTAAATAAAAAGTGATTTGAGATGGAGGTATGGCTCAAGTGATAGATAGTAAGCACAAGGCCCTGGGTTTGAATCCTAGTACTGCCAAAAAAAATTTAAAGAGAGATTTAAAGAAGATACATTTACTTAAAATATTTGGTTCATGGTTGAATATTCATTTCACAAATGTCTACTGTAGACTCTGTGATGGGAGACAGCACTTTTTTTTGTCCGTCGTGGGGCCTGAACTCTGGGCCTGGGCACTGTCCCTCAGCTCTTCAGCTCAAGGCTAGTGCCCTAGCACCACTTCTGGCTTTTTCTGCTTATGTGGTGTTGAGGAATCAAACCCAGGGCCTCATGCATTCGAGGCAAGCACTCTACCGCTGACCCACCTTCCTAGCCCCTGAGACAGTAACTTTTTAAAGTATTCAGTACTATTGAGGAAGATAAAAACTGCTCTAGGCTCCCAAAGGCAAAAAAAGAGGATAAGTGAAAAAAGAAGGGAGGAAATGGGAACAAACAGGAAATAGGTCAGTCTCTACAATGAAAGGATCCAGAAATTCATGTACACATTGTAAATATTTAGCTGCAGTCTAAAGTATTCTAGGCTGTACTGTGGGGAAATAAACTAGCAGGTTGCTTTAATTGCTTTATTGTTTTTTGTTTATGCCATTCATTTTCTTACCTCATTATAGTCTGTTGTTATAAATCTGAAAATGAATATTTGCTCCAAAATGATTGATATCATATAATATTGAAGCGTAATACAAATTTCATGTTTGCTGATAAGCAGTTTCATTCACAAGGAACGCTAAGTCAATGCAGAAAACTGTATTACCCTCAACAGAGCTGCCTGGGGGTACACAATCATAAGAGCAAACAACATTTGCCAGCCACCTCAGTTTTTCTTGTTATAAGCCACATCTAATCACATTTGGTGTTATAGAAAACCTTCCCTCCATACATTCTCAATAACACACAGCTATAATTCTCTGTGTATAAACTTCATGTCTTTTTCAAGATTAAGATTAAGAGTCACTTACTGTAGTTTGTTTTTTTGGGGGGAGGTGGGAATCCTGGAGCGTAAACTCAGGGTCTAGACCTTGCCCTTGAGTTTTTGTGCTCAAGAATAGTGCTCTATCACTTTAAGCTACAACTCTATTTTTGGCATTTTGGTAGTTAACTGGAGGTAAGAATCTCATGGACTTTCCTGTCTGTGCTGGCTTTGAACCTTTATCCTCAAATCTCAGCCTCCTGAGTAACCAGGATTACAGACATACTGTTTAGTATGTCTGTTTAGTATTAACAACTTAATGTCTAAAACTGTATTATTGTATTAATTTCCTATTTTTCTGTGTCATGCATGTAATTGGTTCCACTGTTCCTTTAAGCCCTGTTTTTAAACACACTGCACAGTACATGGGTGTCAGGAAACATTTGACACATATCTAAACTGACTGACCCTTGCTTATAATTGTTCCCTGCCTCTTGAAAACACTAATTATCTTTCAAGATCCTGTTCCAGTGCTCCTTTGAGAACTTTTCCCCTCATTTTCTCAGTCACTCTATATCTCTGCTATTTTTTTCTTTTTTCCTTTTTTTTTTTTTTGGTAGTTTGTGGGGCTTGAACTCTAGGCCCGGGCGCTGTCCCTGAGCTCTTCAGCTCAAAGCTAGCACTGTACCACTTGAGCCACAGTGCCTCTTTTGGCCTTTTCTGTTTATGTGGTACTGAGGAATGGAACTCAAGGCCTCATGCGTAAGGGGCATGTACTCTACCGCTGAGCCACTTTCCCAGCCCCTATTTTCTGTCTTATAGAATGTTTATCAGTGAACATGTGGGTTTCCTTCACTATGGCAGAGACTTACCTTATTTGCAGTTGTCATGGCTTCTTCCAGAAATTGGATCTTGCTCTGAAGGGCATCAATCTGCCCTCTTTTGGCTGTGATTTGCTTTTGCATCCCCATTGCCACTTTCATAGCTAAAAAGAGAGAGAGAGGTGGGGAGAGAGAGAGAGAGAGAGAGACAGAGAGAAGATGCCAACTACAATGAAGTTTTCTAAATTTTGAGACTACTATAGTCAATGCTAAATATGATACTTTAATTTATGAGCTGATAAGAGTCTCTGAGATACCTGGACAGTTTCAAGGAAAAGATCACAGAAAAGTATATTTGAGATTCATAATATTAGAAACAGTAATTTTAAGTAACTACCCAGAGATTCTAAATTGAGAAAAAATATGATGATGTTTTATGGAATTAATTTCATTAATCCAGAAGTTGCCATATATCCAATGGTAATAATGATACCAAGTAAACTCATACTTGCAGCAAATGTATATATACATTTTACTAAAATGTTTTTTCCAGATATTCATATTTAAAATACCACATAAGACATCAAATGTTAATGATCTTTTTAAGGTTCTAATGATATTTAAAGCCATTCACTTTTCATTCCCAGGGTTGTGATGGGCTTGACATTCACAACAGTCTCAGTCTTAGATAATATGTGGCTTGTTTTTTCTGTTTTGTTTTGTTTTACAAAAAACAAATGGACAAAGTCCATTGTGAGGCTTGAAAACTGGGTCTGGGTGCTGTCCCTGAGATCCTCAGCTCAAGGTGAGCCCTCTACCACTTGAGCAACAGCGCCACTTCTGGTTTTCTTGTGATTCATTGGAGATGAGAGTTTCATGGACTTTCCTGCGTGGGCTGGCTTTGAACCATGATCCTCAGATCTCAGCCTCCTAAGTAGTGAGGATTATAGGCATGAGCCACTGGCACCTGCCTATGTGGTTATTTTTTTTTAAGTTTTTCATAAAGTGAGAATGTTCTAGATGGGTACAAGACATAGAGTACTCAGAACATGGTAGACCACTGAAAAGATCGATGAAGCTACTCCTTACTTAGAAATTCAAAGTCAGAAGGTATTTTTTTAAGTCAGTTGAAGAAAGATTTGAAAATGACACTGCTTTACATAGGGTTATAGAATAGAAGATTAAAAGAAAAATGTACCATTCTTTATAAACAATATCACAGGAGAGTGCTGGAAGGGGTGACACTGGTTAAGATGCACTTTACACATAAATGGTCATATTAAAATGAAGACCTGGGGCTGGGTATGTGGCCTAGTGGTAAAGTGCTTGCCTAGCATTCATGAAGCCCTGTGTCTGATTCCTCATTCCCAAATACACAGAAAAAGCCGGAAGTGGCGCTGTGGCTCAAGTGGTAGAATGCTAGCTTTGAGCATATGAAGCTCAGGGACAGTGCTCAAGACCTGAGTTCAAGCTGTAGGACTGGCAAAAACAAGAAAAGAAAAGAAACCCTTTAGTACAACTATTTGAAGACAATAATAAAAAATAGAGAATGAAAGGTCTGATTTCTCATTAACAAGATGTGATTCTTACAGATAATCTGTCAGACTAGGGGTTAATACATTGATTTATTAATAGATCCAAAGTCTGATATAATTGCCTACCACTTAGAATTCTGGTCTGATTAAGTGGACCATCGTTGGCCTTCAGAGGTCATTTTCCAGAATAATCTTTTTAAGTTGATTTAATCCAACGGAAAAAAAATAATTTGAATGCAAATGCAGAGGTTACTTAGGTAATTTATTAATTTTCAGAGAACTGGGATGGCTGTGTAGATGCTCAAGAAACTGAGAAAGAGATGTTGGTGAAGTAGGGGAACAGATCCCAAGTGGGCCTCTTTAGTAACCTTTCCAAACCCCAATATTTTCTCAGTGTTAACCAGCCAAATGCCCAATTGTTGAGATCCTTCACAATTTGTAGGTCATTCTGGCATAGGAAATATAGCAATCTCTGTATTTTTTCAATTTTATAATGTGTGCTGTTAAGGCAAACATTAATCTAGGGTTAAAATATTGAGAAACAGTCAGTTGTGGGGCCCTGGGCCTGGATGCTGTCCCTCAGCTCTTCAGCTCAAGGCTAGCACTCTACCAGTTGAGCCACAGTGCCACTTCTGGCTTTTTCTGCTTACATGGTGTTGAGGAATCAAACCCAGGGCCTCATGCATGCAAGGCAAATACTCTACCATGAACCACCTTCCCAGCCCCCAAATATTATACTTTAATTTGATAAATATTCTTTGAAAAAACTTGAACAATTTTTGAAAAATAATTTTTGAGTGATTGGAATCAAACTCATGCCTGCAAGGCAATCTGAAAAGTTTGAAAATTCAAACAAAAGAGAAGGAGGCCTTTGATGATATATATAAAGAAAATCTGGGGGTAGAGGGCGGTATGGGAAGGGATGGGAAAGGGAAACAAAGGAGGAGGCAACAATGCTTGATAAGAAATGTATTCGTGGCTGGGAAGGTGGCTCTGTGGCAGAGTGCTTGCCTTGCATGCCTGAGGCCCTGGGTTCGATTCTTCAGTACCACATAAGAAAAAAGCTGGAAGTAGCGCTGTGGCTCAAGTGGTAGAGCGCTAGCCTTGAGCTGAAGAGCTGAGGGACAGCGCCCAGAGTTCAGGCCCCATGACTAGACCCACCCTCCCTCCCCAAAAAAGAAATGTACTCGTTATCTTGCCTATGTAATTGTAACCCCTCTGTACGGTATTTTCACAATAAAAAAAAATCTGTTGAAGAAAATTAGCTCCTACTGAAAAATAACTGCCATATCTTTATTTTGGTTTAAATTTAACATTTTCCCATTTTCAACATTCTAATGCCCCAAGTTACTATAATAATCATGTCTTGCTGTTTAACATTTGGTAATTATCAATTCTTATTGCTAGGTAATAGTCATATCAATAATATGAATGATAGGAAAGAGGAGACAACCTTATGTCATTAAGATAATGATAATAGTCCTAATGTCACTGAGGAAATACTTATGTAGATAGTATGACCAGCAAGATAAAAAGGGAACAGTATGTGGTGACAAGACACTCTATCTAGTAGTTCAAGAGCTACCAATTAGCCATAGAGCTACAGTTTATGCACAGGCAAAATATGTAATAAAAATTATTGGTGGGGCTGGGAAGGTGGCTCAGTGGTAGAGTGCTTGCCTAGCATGCCTGAGGCCCTGGGTTCAATTCCTCAGCACCACATAAGCAAAAAGAAAAAAAAGCTAGAAGTGGCGCTGTGGTTCAAATGGTAGAGTGCTAACCTTGAGCTGAAGAGCTGAGGGACAGCCCCCAGGCCCAGAGTTCAGGCCCTACCACTGGACCCCCCCAAAAAAAAAGAATTATGGGTAACTTGAATTTATATCCTTAAAAATGACTGGTTAACATTAAAGGCATTCATTTGCTAGAAAATATTGAAACAGCCACAGGAAAGAGAAAGATTCTTTTATCTAGAGATTTCATATGTGTTACAGATTAAGTATGGCATTTCCCTTAAACCATTAAGTAGAAATACTGCTACCCAACATCTACCATTGACATGTATTGCTGCCTATTTCCCATATTATTTGAGACTCTAAAGAGCTGGGAAGCAATGCATCTGGGTTGTGTTTTAATAGCCTAAAACGAAGGCTGGGAATATGGCTTAGTGGTAGAGTGCTTGCCTGGCATGCATGAATCCCTGGGGTCAATTCCTCAGTACCACATAAGTAGAAAAAACTGGAAGTGGTGCTGTGGCTCAAATGGTAGAGCACTAACCTTGAGCAAAAGAAGCTCAGGGACAGTGCCCAGGCCCTATTTCAAGCCCCAGGACTAGCAAAAAAAAGTCTAAAATGATGGCATTAAAGATGAAAAAAGGAGCAGATCTAATAGAACATACCATGACCATCAGATCCTTCCATAGATTTTAGTGTATTCCTTGTTTGTTCCAGTTCAGACTGTGCAGATTTTAATTGCATTTTCAGTTTATTTGTAGTAGTTTCCATTTCTTCACTTTTGTTTCGAAAATTCCTTTTTAAGACTTCATAGTCCTCTATATAATAGTTAATAATAAGGTTATTTTTTCCTACCCATTTATATGAAAGCACATTTTATTAGCAATTAATGATCACAGAAGTTATTGATCACAGAATTTTGGAAGCTGGAAAATTCATTTACTTACATTTCATTTATTATAAAAGAATATGTATTTGTGCATTTCTGGGGATCTGATGGATTCTTCTTTTTAGTTGGCTTCTTCTTTTTAGTCCTCTACTTATTATTTTCCCCCAACCAGTGTAATTACCTCATATCTATTTCAGCTTATACCTTCTTGGATGACCATATGTATCACAACAAGATTTTACCACCACTTATATCTGTAGATGGATGACTTTCCATCACACTGTAAATAACTAAGGCTACCATAGCCTTTATTTTTAATTACTGTAATGTGTCTTAATCTTTTTTTTTCATGATGTCTGAATCAAACCCAAGGCTTTGCCCATGCTAAGCAAACACTCTGTCACTGAAGTATTCTCTTTCTCTGTCTTATCTTTTCATCTCCAATACCTATCAAAATACTTAATACAAATTCATCTTTTAATATGCTATAACTTCCACCATATCCATCTATTGATTTATAATATAGATTTGTATACTAAGGGAACAAAAATCCAATTCTGTCTCTCTAGATATTTCCATGTCAATATCCTACTGCTTCACACTGAATATGACCAAAGTTTTGCCCCTATATTGGTTCCCTCCCTAGTTCCTTCTCTCAGTTGTTGCTACCACTACTCAAATATGTAAGCTAAAAACCTGAAAGTTAGACTTAACCCCTCCAATCACTTAGCCTTGTTGATCCAACCTCCAAAAATATTCTTAATTCTTTGTTCTTCCATTCTCACTGTCACAACATTTGTTTAAGTCATTAAATTTCCTGAGATCAACCCAAAGTCTTTCCTTATCTGGTTAATAGTCTGACTCTTTTGCCATACCTTTCACTGATTTAACGTAACATCTTTAACATATCATGGTCTTAGAAAATCTGATGCCAGGGGCTTGGAAGTTGGCTCAGTGGTAGAGTGCTTGCCTTGCATGCCTGAGGCCCTGGGTTCGATTCCTCAGCACCACATAAGCAAAAAGAAAAAAGCCGGAAGTGGCGTTGTGGCTCAAGTGGTAGAGCGCTAGCCTTAAGCTGAAGAGCTGAGGGACAGCGCTCAGGTCCAGAGTTCAGGCCCCACGACCAGACCCCCCCCCCAAAAAAAAAGAAAATCTGATGCCAATTTCCTACTTAATATCTGTTGGCTCCATATTGTCTGGTTTAACCTCATTTCTTTATATTTTTGTTTCAATGAATACTTCTTAGGTCACATTATGTTATTCATGCCTTCATGCTTTTGCTCATAATGTTCTCTCTGGTTGAAATGTCTTACCTCATTCATTTGCCAAACTTCCAAATCCGGTACACGTGTCATTTCTTCTAGATGGCTAATTCTCTATCCTCTGTGCTTTTCTTTATCCAGCATACTTCCACTGTAACTGACACTTTTTTTTTGTAACCCCATTATAGATAGGGCTGTCTCCCCATTAGACCATGAGCTTCACTGTGGTGTTTCTGTCTCCCCATTAGATCGTGAGCTTCACTGTGGTGTTTCTGTGACCTTTCACAGCATCTAGCATAGTAAATGCTCTGTAGCTAGTGTGTGTGTGTGTGTGTGTGTGTGTGTGTGTGTGTGTGTGATATATGATACCATATCATGCCAATCATGACCTAGAGTTTAATATAAGGTCTTAGATTTCTCCTTTCAACACATCACTTCATTAAGTACTTAATAAAGCTATGTGACTCAAAGGTTCAAGTTTTCATTTCCATAAAATCTGAACTATGCAAACAATAAGATTTATGCTAAACACCTGCCTTCCTTCTGGAAGCCTAGAATCTAGATATCTCATCTTTCTCTTGGGAACTCAGTACAGAATTTCCTGGACTCAGAGGAATAACTTAAGTTAGTGATTAGTGAGAATAAGACATGGAAGTTCTTCATGAAGAACTCTAAGGATTTCAGTCATGAATCTTCCACTGGGGCAGCATAAGAATTTGTATTTGTCATGTGAAATGAGATGTTTTTTTGTAATTGTGGCAGGGTCCATGCTTTTACTGTACAGCGGTCCGATGTCTTAGTAGAATTTGAAGTGAAGCAACATACCTGACAGATTGTTTAATTCACTCCTACTAGCCTTCACCTCATTTAATAACTGATCTCTCTCTTGTTTGATGTCCTTCACTGCACGGAGCCGCTCAGAGCCTGCATTCACCAGCTTCACCTTCTCTAGCTCAAGGTCACTCACTCTGGCCTCAAGTTCCCGGATCTTGGCATCTTTCTTGTCTTTCAAAATCTAAATATACAACAAATACAAGGACAGAGAGTAAAGTAAAAACTATGAATAGGTATGGTAACGAATGATGTCATAAGTATTCTTATCTACATTTAGAAGTTTTGTTATTTCTCAGGATATCAAGTGTGACTTCTATTATAAAACATCAACAGTAGCTGGCTAAAAATGAACATTTCACTTTTAACTTAGATATGAATTCTCAGGGACAATGAATGGAAAAGACATATCCAACTTTGAAATTTTGAATGTATAGGTCTGAGAAATTAATAACACCATAAATTAATAGCACCATAACAGAAGGTACAGGAAGTAGTGTAGAGGAAAGGCCCCAGCGAAGAAGAAAGAGGAGTGGTTTTTTTTTGGAGAGGAAAAGCCCCAGCAAAAAAGAGCTGATGGACATTTAGTCTTTTCTTTGTAAAGGCCCAGCTCTAGGAGCTGTAGTTATTAGGAGAAGGTTCCCTCAGTTTCTTGGCTATCATTGTGAACAGTACCTAGCCCAAAGAAGAAAAACCACAAAATTTGTGTTCTTTTTGTGTTGGTCCTGGGGTTTGAACTCAGGACCTTGTGGTCTTGCTAGGCTTTTTTGCATAAGGCATACCTCCAGTTCTAGTTTTCTGCTGGGTAATTGGAGACGAGAGTCTCAAGGCTTTGTTTTGAATGGTGATTTTTGTGTCTCAGCTTCCTGAGTACCTAGGATTATAGGTATTAACCACTAGCACCAGCAAAACCACATATTTTAAGGCTATGATTCTCTTCTTGCCTTACTGGATTGTTAAGGGAAGGGGATGAGATATTAAAGCCTGAGTCTTTAGATGACCCTTCTAGGGCTTCTCTTCTTTACTACTCTGTTCTGTCCATATTTGAGAACTAAGATCAGTTTTATACTTTCCATTCTACTTTTATGTACTTAAGTCAGATCAAATTTTTAACACTACCTTTTCACACCATCCCTCCTTTCTACCCTATATCTATAACAGTTCCAACATTATTTCCAGGCTGACCTACTGGCTGAGATTCAACCTCTTGCTTGAAATGTCATCCTTCCTCCTCTCTGCCTAATTTTGCCTAAGTCTCAACTTCTCTCTGATGCCTTCATTGCCCACTCAAATCACGGGGATCCAAACTCTCTGAGATCTCTAACTCATAAGAATGCTTTTGATCAGCAGTATAACATCTTCTGGGAGCTGAAAGACAAGGCTCCAGATCTACTTGGAATGGGGCTCAGAAATTTAATAGGCCTCTAGGTGATTCTGTTTCTCACCTAGAGCCCCTACACAGTAATAACACCTCATATACTACTAGGATCAAGACCCAAAGCAGTGTTGCTTCCCAACAAGTTATTCAATCTCTCTGACTCCTCATCTGTAAAATGAGATATTAATAATGTCTCCCTCATGAAGATTTTTGGAAGGTTAAATTTATTTAATTTTTGGAGTACTTTTCATTGCCCCCTAAGTGCCTCTAGGCTAGAAAGCAGAACACTTAACTCCTATTTCCTATATGTTTTGTTCTGCATGCCAACTTATCCAAAGTTTTCACTGAAGGGTTGGCCACTAAAAAGCTTTGAGCACTTTTGTGGTAAGTCTGGCCATTTAAATGTACATATATGTATAAAATAAAGCAAAAAATAGAAAAATTTAAGTGTGTGTGTGTGTCTGTGTGTGTGTGTGTTTGTGAGTTGTGGTGCCTGAACTCTGGACCTGGGTGCTGTCCCTCAGCTCTTCAGCTCAAGGCTAGCGCTCTACCACTTGAGCCACAGCACCACTTCAGGCTTTTTCTGCTTATGTGGTGCTGAGGAATCAAACCCAGGACCTCATGTATGCAAGGCAAGCAGTCTACCACTGGGCCACCTTCCCAGCCCAAAATTTTAAATTTTTATATGATGATCTTATTTCCATAAGATAGATAATAATCTATTGTTGGCATCTAAAGTTTATGTGATTTGCATCTTATTACTCACCAGAAAGAAAACTTAGCACATCTACAGTTTAAAAATGCTTCAATTATTTTTAAATTTAAGGAATTTTAACTAAGGACTTTCTGGGGATAAGGCACAAAGACATGGAGCAGGAAATATAAGGATGAATAAGATATGTACCCTGCTTTATGAAATCTGTAGTATTGTATGGATAATGTGTTACTGCTTCTTAAATACACACACATAGACACATGCACACACACATGCACAGAAAACATAAACATATTTTTAGAAATGTGTATTTATATCAGCTTATAAATATATATTTATGTCTAAAAGCCTCATAATAACTCAATAGGTTGTTGAGTTTTTCTATTTAGGCTTCCTGCCAGATACCAAGTCCTAGTCTTGTATTTAAAAAAAAAAGACTTCATAGAGCAGATGGATCATCTGATTGTTTTTGTTGTTGTTGTTCTTTTGTACCTGCAATTCTGAACCATTCTAAAGCCATGTATTTCTTTTTGTGTTTTGTTGGGAGTTTTCTGTTTGTTTTTTGAGACTGAGTCCTACTATGTAACTCAAAATCCTCCTGCATCCACCTTCCAAGTACTGAGATTAGAGGTGTGCACCACTACACCCAGCTCCATCTACTCCTTTTGAAATTAATAAAAGAAAAATGCATCCTTTCTCAAACAACATGCATACTAAACCAACACAAATACTTTCCATTTCAGAAGATCACAGATACCCTAACTTCTTTTCAGGAAATCACATCAAACTTGTTTATGAGAAAAAAAAATTTCAGAAGCCAAATCCACAGAAACTAAACAGACCTTAAATTCCTGCAGTTCCAGTCTCCTATCATTAATCTCTTTCTCCAGCTGAGCCTTTTCTACTTGCATAGCACCAGCAGTTCGTCCATGCTGGCCAACCAGCTGCGTCATGTTTTCAATCTGCTGGCGCAAAATCTCGATCACCTTGTCCTTTTCTGCCATCTGAAGCTTGAGAGCCTCACATTCTGTCTGTACGTTTCTTAGATGATCTCCTTCAGTTTTCAGATGCTGTAGCTCTTGCAATTTCAAATCCACTCGGGAGCGAAGCTTGGTGATCTCTGCATTGGTGGCCTCAATGGCTCGCTCTTTTTCCTGGAGGGAAGCTGTCAGGTCTGACACTGTTCTCTCTGAACTTTCTAGGGTCATCTTCTTGGCCGTCAACTCTTCTACCACTTTGCGCAGCATCTCCTTGGTAGACTCAAGCTGTGCAGTCAGAGAAGACACTTTTTCCAGACTTTCGTTCTTCCCTTGAATTGCTGCCATCTGATGACAAAGAAAACAGTTTGTAGTTTGGGGAGGACAGGTACAGGCAGGCTCAAGAGATACGACAGGTTAACTCTAAAACATCAAATCAGGAGTTGGATTGTCTAGGCAGACAAGCTCAAATTGTTTGCTGTCAGAGCTCCAGATCAACAAAATGTGTAAGACTGACACGTGTCAGTTAGAACAAGTGGAAAACCTTAATAAAATAATATCGCTCTGGAATGGTTTGCAGGGTAAGAATCTAGGGATTCTGATGATATTTCCTATACTACTTTTAGGTTAAATAATACTGGGAATAGGGAAGAGGGGGTTGTAAGCTTGAAAACTGCCATTATATTCTATTTCTCTTCCATCTCCCCATAATTTTTTCTCTGAAGGAAAAAAGGAATAATAGTTTTATTCAATGCATGTTCATATACTCTGGGTAGGATTCTTACCTCCTATCATTTACTTTATCTTTCTTCCTGTGCAAGAGAGATAACAAAACAGAGAAGTGGCTTGGCCTTCATCTCCTTGGCTTGCTTTCACATTTTGAGAAGCTTGCATATATGTGGGTGGGGCTTTTTTTTTGGGGGGGGGTCCGGTTGTGGGGCCTGAACTCTGGGCCTGGGTGCTGTCCCTCAGCTCTTCAGCTTAAGGCTAGCGCTCTACCACTTGAGCCACAGCGCCACTTCTGGCTTT